TCATTTTGGCACAAAACATCAAAGCCACATAACCTAATAATAAGGCTTACGTAGTTTCCCATATGTTACATTTATATATAGGCATGTATAAGAACAGATGTCGATATACAAAATCATGTTAAAATCTATGTATATAAAATAATATCATAATCATTAGATTTTAATACGAACACATGTCTTGATTATTGAAACTGGTTTCTAATAGTTCATGGCAATAATTCTTCAGTATGTTCATCGACAGTGTTCATGATATAGCTATAACGAAAACTGGTTCCTCACACATAAAATAAATGACTGATTTCTTTATGATCAGTTAATTAATGCCAAAATAACCGTAGGCAAACTATAATACAATATAGATGAGACCTTATCAAAAACAAGACAAACTTCTATCAAAATATACACAGGTTGGAATACAAATATATATATGCACTTCGATCAAACCGTGGAGTGGTCGAAAAGGTTCGAAATAAAGCCTCAAATGAATTCCACACAATCCGGTTCTACTGTCACTAGATGGCGCCTCTCCATTCATATTCAAATAGAAGTTTCTCGTCAGGTAATATCTCACAATGATAATCGTATACTTCGATCTTTCGTAAAAAAACGCTGTAGTAAAATAGTCTCAAAAACAAATAAACATTTTTCACTGATGTGAAGCTGGTGTATACGTTGTAAAGGAAAAAAAAACTTAATTAAAGTAATAAGTCCACATTACTGTGCGTTTTATACAATTTTATCGCTATTTTCAAAGAAATATATATAAAATTAATAAACCAAAAAAAAATTAAGAGGTTCACCACCACTGTTATTATTGTAAGTAAGAGCAATATAAACAGAGGCAATTATGGACTAATCTTTTATAGTTTATAAATAGCTTATTAGAAGAAATGAAGTGCATAGTTAGTTTGATTTTTTTTTTACTTTTTTCGGAATAAAAGTAAATGAACCAATCAAATGGAATATTTAAATATAAATCTACAAAGTTATAGATCTTATCAATTCCGTGCGGTAATGCTCATAAAGCATAGGTATTTGCATTATTGTAAATTTATTCATCGCATGATTGTAATTTATCCTGCGATCGTAGAAAATTATTATGTAAATAAAGTAAATAAAATGTTGTTACATATCACTTCATCCTGTGGTATTGAAAGGGCAACTCTCCTATATCGTTGAGCCCCATAGGCCATCAGAATGTTATCGCTGACGAATAATACTGCTAGCTCTTTTAATAGCCACTTTTATTTGCTTTCTGATGTTTAGAGCTCACGATCGGAACTTAGAAAGGACCCGTGGGATCCCTGCCCGTGATCACTATTATTTCGCTTCAATCCTTCAACAAGTAGATAGCACCTTTATGGTTTTTGTTAGATATGCGAATATAATAAATTCGAATTGGAAAGAGGACATCATACATAAATGACACGATGGTCTCGCAAACGGCGCTAACGATTTCAATGATTTTTTAAACGTATGTGTCTTCCTTCGAAAAAAAACCACGAAACTGAATATATATATATATATTGCTTCATTTAGCCACATTTGTGAAATTACAAAATGATTAAGTTGTTGTGGTTGTTGTATCAATTAATTGATAATAATTAATAATGTATTTGTTGACAATATTGTTGTGATATTTAAATTCTTGCACTCTCATTCTTATCGAAACGTAAATTTTTTTTAATATCGTTATTTTATACTAAAAATCCTTATTTTTTGTTATCATTATCTTATTACTTTACATCCCTAAGAGGGAAACGTTGTACGGCGGTACGTATTTTTCAAATTCAGTCTACATAAAACAAAGTTAGAATATATGTTTTACCCCACTTAATTGACTTATCCAATAGTAGATCCCGCGTCCCGGTTCTACGTCTAGATAAGCAGCCTACCTTTAAAAATGTCGCCCGAAATTCCTGATGATCCTTGGCTTGTCGATCCTCCCGTCGGTCTCGGGGCTGCGCCGGGTCAGGCGCCCGGCGTTATTCATTAGCGACGCCCTCGCGCCGATGATGGCCGGTCATTTCGCTTTATTTATGAGGCGGCCGGGGCCGGGCGAGCCCCCAATTTCGCATGTAATCAGCACGGCTCGATAATTACAGCCCGGCCGCTGCCTCTGCCTCGCCTCAAAAGGATGACTCCTTGATTGGATAAAGTTACTCGACTCGTGGAGGGGCGTCTTATGATGCGACTTTTACATAATTATTGTTTATTATCCGATATATATATATCACGCTATATTGCATATACAGCTGCGATTCCGGGGATAGAAGAATAAATTCGTAATTTTACGTGAGAATTCTCGTGTGACAATAAAAATGTCATCTGTTTTTGACTATAAAAAATGTAAACAAGGTAATAATAAAAATGAAATACGATTCTCATTCGTAAAAAAGAACTTCTAAACTACAGCATTACTAAGACGGCGAGTCCGATTTTTAACAATGTTAGAATTTATTTGAGTACTATGTTAAACTAAGCTATTTTTTAAGTATATTTCCTGACTATAAATAAAAGCGTGTGTTGATATGAGTACCAATTGCTATTTTATAAAAAAAAATGTTAATTAATTGGGTCATAATAATACAAATATTGGTTCGAAATCGTATTTATAAAAACCGGACAAGTGCGTGTCGGGCCACACACAACGTAAGGTTCTGTAGTTGCCCTATTAATTAAATTCATGGTTTAACAACGGCTAACGACGTTTAAAAGAGCCCACATAAGACGGGTACTGAGGATGTTAAGATTTTATATTCCCACAATTTTATATGGTTCATAAAGTTATATTTACTATCTTATACATATATACATTTTTAAGATAGGCATCTTACACAACCAAAAACGGCATCTAAATAAATTACAATGGAATTTGTACCCACCAAATTTAGCTTTTTAGCTCTCCAAATATATTTTAGAAGTTGGTCAATTATTACTCGTTAATTAGTTTTCATTTTAACTTCGTTATACATGCTACGTGATTTTTTTCAGATATTCAAGAATATCTATTTACCTAAAAACGAGCGGGATACTCCTTTCCTACTGGAATTAGCATTCTAAAGTTTAATATTTCGCAAATCGATCTCTAAGTCGAATAAGGTTCTCTAGTACTGTTAAACTAAAGCAATTGTCATTTGATTTAAGATTACTTTAATAATTTAAAAAATCATAAGTAGTACTCCAAATTACAACGACATCACGGAGCAGAGAGAACATAGACTGTACACGCAAAAAGGCGCGAAATTTTGTAATTTTGCAAGAATATGTGACAGATTAATATTATCTTAACGTAGACAATAATGAATACTTATCATTTTAACCCGTATCTGTAATATTTTTGTATGAGTTATCCAACAATACTCCACACCATAGAATAGACGAAAAAAACATTAACTCCCATTTAACGTGAAAAGGAGGTATCCCAAAAATTATTTTTTACCAAATTTTTTTTACTGTGTTCTGGGCGTGATTAATATGTGTCCCATATCAAATTGCAGCTTTCTACTACTAAGAGTCTTTGATTTAACCGCTGATCGACATACAGATAGACAAACAAATAGACAGATGGAAGGACGAACGTCCATCGAGACGAACATAGCGAAACAATAAAGGTTCCTTGATAACTACGGAACCCTAAAAAAGAATGCATGAATTAATGGTATCAATATATACACATCAGAAGTGAAACTTCTGTAAGTTATCTATTACTTTTATTTTATTTGGGTTTTAAAATAAGTAGGATAAATGGGGTTTAAGAAAAAGATTTTTTTTAGTTAAAACGATTTTATTAGTGAGATAAGTACAAATATTATAGTATAATCAATTTTATTATTATAATTAGGTTGTGATTTTGAAACTCAACGAAACAATAAAAGCGTCATTAAATAGAGACAATAAACAAAACAGAAAAAATCACAAACAAATCGATAGGAATTAGCCCGCGAGGGAATGAAACAGTATGCAAGACGCCATAATTTGAGAGAGCGAGATAGAATGTAGAATAAGATACAATTCAAGAGAAAGATAGATGTGCTTGTGTACACCTGCATGTTGTCATTTGTTGAAATCGAAAACATAGAGTCAGAATTATAAAATGTAAAATAGCTTTTAAACTTCGTACCGTAATAAATAATTCTTTACATTCTCTCGCAGTTTAGTCTTGCTGAAGGTTGTACTTCTATCGCGTGAACTGAACACACGTTTTCTTTTAATAAAGTACTAAAATTTCCCACGACGTGCCTAAAGAAGTTTCACACGATGAAATATTCAAATTCAATTACGCTCGGTTTCCTGTCTCTCGAAGTTTCTTTCTTCCTATATAAATCGCATATCGATCGAGCGCACATTCCTTATACAGGACGATGCGGTACGGCAAAAAGCAGTGTCGTGTCCGCGATCACGAGATAACGTTAAACTGTGCGTTTGTTGCCTTCACGCGGTGGCCGGGGGCGCGGGCGATCGGTTTACGTCGCCGTGGCACCCGCGACAAATTGATAATTAATTACCGGCCCCGCGCCTCTGATGCGGCCGCGGTGTTCGCGCGCCGAGATCGCTATCTGGCCGCCCGGCTTCTTTGAAGAGGGCAAAAAAAAAATGTGTATCATAAACAAATCCGATGCTTCCATTTTGCCCGTCCGAAATACATCGTCCGTGTTATAAAATCCGCACATCGTTCGTGCTAGCATTAATGTCTCGCTCGTAGTTCGCAGCGTGATAAGAAAACTCGCGATGGACCATCACGGACGCTAGAGTTGTATACGCGTCAACGGGATGATCATTTATTGTCGTAGATGATCACGTACAAAAATTTATATATATATATATATATATTGGAAGGTAGTTCATTATCGCCCGTTACATCCTTGGTGAACAAGAGCTAGGCCATAAAAAGTGTACGTCGCGACACTTTTACTATAGTTCGCTTTAGTAAAAGCTTCCAGTAGTCGCGTCTTTTAAGTTTTCAATCGCCACGTCCATACCACGTTGTTATAATGTCCCAATACACCGGTTCTCCTCCGATCACTGAAGTCAAGCGGCGTTGGACGCGGCCAGTACTAGGATGGGTGACCGACTGGTAACACCGCGTGAAGTTGATTTTTGCTGTTGCACTTTTTTCCATACTAATAAAGACAGATTATTTTATTGTACTTTTATTTAAAACATAATAATGAACTGTATCCTTACCGGATATCCCACAACATATCTCGTGTATTGTCATTTATTTAAAGACTCGGATTCAATTTCCAACTTGCGCGCGTATATATCACTCAGAGTTGCTAAGCACACCCCCTCTCACGCTATTTTTATTTCACTCCAAGAAGGGTCAACTTTATACCCTCAATCCTAGCCCGGTGTGAGTTGAGAGCTACTAACGACCTCATCACCTTGGTTATAATTTCCAGAATCAACGCCTTAATATGCTTCTCCAGGGAACGAAGGGAGAAGTTTTGTTGAGATTGAGTTAAAAACTCATCGGCCAGTTTACCGTGGTCAAAATTTGAATCCGGTACACACAGGTACGATGGGATCGCCTTTAACCACTCAAACTCCACCAGTCTGGATCTGTTTCGATTCTGCTTTCTTTTGCTTTTATACAGATTATGATATCAACTATCGCTTATGTCATACTATAAAGAAAGCTATATAGATCTTTAACGATATAGAAAGTACTCAACGGCAATGAGACAAGGTTAGAGCTAAGATACTATACGCTCTTAGAAGAGACCTATAGTTTGTTGTGAAAAAATTATATTGATTATGAAATCGTCCAAGGAATCAAAATAAACTATAATGATGCTGCTCTGCGCACTTTATAGCACACAATAACCGAAGAATAATAGAATAATCCACTTGTAATTTGATTTATATTTAATACAAATATAAGGATTGAATAGTTGTCATTAAAGAAATTTCATTAATTATTGCAATTTTTACTTAATAAAATTTGAATTCTTTGAAAACCTGATAAAAGTTTTCATCTGGGCCCATTACCGTCGTGCGCCGTGACCCATAGCGCCGATCAGCAGTGGCCGGTGAGGGACCTTCGTGAGAGGAGCTGGCCGCGTATCAGCGATCGGACGTGACGTCACGCGCACAATGGCGGTTGACGGATGCGCGGGCGAGAGCTGCGCATTGTTCCCAGATAACGAGCATAAATAATCCGCCGCCTCACCTGACGGACTGCCCTCTATGGAATGTTTATTTTATTGGAATTGTTTTCTGTTTTCATTGGGGCTGGACGCGCGCTATCATCCTTTTTGAGGTTGAGAAATTACATCTTGTGATATTGAATAATTTACAAGGGGTTTGCTAAAAATAATTAGATACTCTTTATTCAATACTTTGGTAAGTTAGACACCGTCGCGAATACTGGTTATTTAGTGTTAAATTTAAAAATGGAACATATTTGAACTCAAACATATTTTTTTCCAATGCTTATTTTTGTGAAAAGCTGGCGAAAATTTGCTTGCAAGAATGGAACTCGGTCGACATGATTTTCGCGCTGATTTTTTATGATTATAAAAATAGATTGAAAGCCCAAGAATGTTTTGAACTTTTGGTTACTACTTTAAGCAAGTCTGTTTGTTCACGAGCAACGGTTTTTAATAAATAATTGGTGTGCTGAGTTTAAAAAAAAGAACGAGGAAACTTTGAATATGAAGCGAGGACAGGTTGGCCGTCAACCACAGTCACTCAAGAGTTCAAGCAGTTGAAAGTTTTATCTGAGAGAACCGAACAAGAGATATATAGAGCTTAAGCTAGAACTGGGTATTGGATCGGCAGCGATGCAAACCATTGTTCATGATCACCTTTTTCTTCGTAAGTGTTGTTTGAGATGGATGCCGCACAAGCTGACCGATGAGCGGAAAGACCGTCGAGTAGATTGGTGGCGATTTATGATTCGAAATTCGACGGAGGTGAAAAAAAAGCGTATACGATATACTTACTTGTGACGAAACATGGCTGCATAACTACGATCCTGAAACATAGCAACAACCGATCGTATGGCGCTCTGAAAATGAATCAACACCAACAAAATGTCGCCGTGCGTGAAGCACACGGAAACAAATGGTCGCCACTTTTTTTGGTAAGACCGGTCATGTTGCTACTCTGGTGCTAGGGTATTAAAAAAACAGTTATTTATATATGGTATGTGACAGTTTGTATCTTAACAGTATTATCAGCTTTATATGAAAAAATATTTCTTATATGAGAAATAACTATTCATAGAAATTTCATTTTTTATTTGATGCGCAAAAAATGAAAAAGGTTTTTTTGAAATGCTATTAGCCATATTATATACCTTCAGCGGTTACCAAGAGATTACACTATATTCGTTTAAATACTTAGTACACCACGTAAACACAGTTTTATTCATTCTTAAAACTCTTTTTTTTGTATTTAAAAGTAGTGAACTTATTTTTTTATATATCACAGTAAAGATATTTAGAAAACATATTTTCATAAGTTCTTCTCGACGAGTCCGAGGTTTTCACATAAATAGAACACAATATTATCTATTCATTATGTGAATCAATGTAATTTTAAATCAAGCGTTATTTATTGAAGAGAAACAAAATGAAATTATACTACACTTACTCCGAGAGTATAACCTGCTTTTGAGCGCGAATCTCTTTGTTTTAAATTGTTAAAAGTAAGTTTACTAAATTATAAAATTAATTTCAAATTATCATCTAGCTGTATTAGTGACATTGAAGATTTTATATCGCCGCCTCAATTAAAGGAAACAGCTCAAGCTTTTACTGATAACTTCTTAGGTGTTATTGAAAATCCCTAGTTCAAAAAATCTAGAAGCAAACAATAGACTCTGAAGAACTTCTATAATTCAGAAGAAAACATAATGTGCTTTTTTTTTGGAATTCTTTTTAAGTTAAAAACTTTGTGGCCATTGTATTTTATGGTTTAAATATATTTATAATAATTCTAATTTTAATACAAAACTGAATTATGGAATTCGTTTTTTATTTTCCTTGTAGGTATAGTACAAATCACTAATATAATAATACTTGGGAGAAAATTGGATTCCAATCTCGCTTTTTTGATGAACAACGTACTATTTGTAAATTTATTTTCATTCTAACGATACAAAAAGCTATTAAAGTGCTATTATGTACCTAGAAAAAAAAAAACTATGTCATTCGATATTTCGAGATTGGAGCACCGTCTTAAGGGTACTACCAAATGCGGCGTCCTGCTGCTTTAGTTACAAATCCATGTACATTTTGATTACACGCACACATCGCTCTCGTTTCCATTGCGGGTATTGTTCACTAAAAGCTGTGTTCGTGGTATGCCGGCGATGTAAGCGTCGTAAAGCTGATCGCACGCCGAGCTTTTCCCACGGCCGCGCGCGCCTCGCGCAATACAAAAGCCGCGTCTAATGGACGCCCATTGATAAAAATTGTTACTACCTTAAAATAAATAACAACAATCGGACCTTCGTGTTAGTGCCATCGAACGAATCATTATATTATAAAAAATGTTCACCTTTGTATTGATATTATATGGAAAAAAAATACATCTTCGTTTTAATCGAACGGTGGTGGCTTAGTGGTTAAGCGGGCCGCCTTCGATCCTAACCACGGACGAGTGGGCCGCTGAGTTTTTCGTTTGACTCGAATCAAAGCCTACATTCGATGCCCGGGGATCACTTTAAGCCATCGGCTCAGGATGACGTCGCCGCGCTGGTGATGGTCGTCGTCACCAGCGCCCAACCCGCACCGGACCTGCGGGGTTTGAGGTGTGAGTCGCTCCGTCTGAAATAAAAATATTGTGGGGTTGTATTCCACTAGGTCAAATTTAGTAAAGTATAGTGCCAGAATATATTAACAATGGGGAATAAATTGACATAAGACATTAATTTAAAGGACCGTGATGTCAAAAACATGTTATCCAATAACGTTTACAAAAAAAATTGTGTATGTTATTGGCTAGAGGTTCCTAAATGTCATGTATTACGATTATTAATATAATAGAAGAGAAAAACTAAACTTATCCTCTAACACTGACTTTGCAGAGGAGACGAAGATTTGAACAACGTAAATTGTAATGAAATGTGAATTCATTTTAAATATAACGGTTGTAACATTCAATAATACATCAATCAAGTTATCATTTTACAGTGTTTAACATAATACATTTATTGTATAATCACTGTAGGCATTTTAGCTTTTTTCCTTATAATTGTATAAAATAAAAAAAAAACACTTACACGATATGTTCCGTTTTGGTTTACATCATTTGAGTTATCATACAGATCTACATGGACAAATGTAATATAGTTAGACAAATTTGACACCACGTGAACTTAATATTTATTTAAGCGGGCTATTACTTTACTTTTAAGTATGATTCTCTCTTTAAAAAAACCCCAAGGGACAACGGAACGTCTGAAATACGGCGTTCTTGTCAACCTTGAAGTAACAGATCTGTTAAATTCTGTAAACTTGAAACAACTTAATTGATATCGGTCATGACGTCGAAATTACGTCAATAGAGCGCACGCGGCGAACCCTTCTCACTCCGACATAATTTTGATATCATAACAATATTAACTGAGTTGTTTAAAGTTTAAAGAATTGGTCTAGCGTTGAATGACGACACGGTTGTTACTTATTAAGCTTTCGGAAGCAAACTGCGAAACGAGCAACAAATTATGTTAACGCTTGTATGGCGTATATATAAGCTCTTGATGTCATTTTCTAGTAGCGAAAAGCATTATACATCAAATAGCCAAAACGATTTCGAGTGAACTTTAACTTATTGATACTTATTAATGTGTCTCCGTTCATTTAAACTATTTGATTGTTATGTACGGACGGATTGATTTCAATAATTTTTGTCTTTATCTTTTTGCAACTTATGTTTAAATCTTGCTGTCGTTTATGTCCCTGACTGGTCATAAAAGGATTAATAGGATTCTAAAAAATCAGCGCACAAAAACATAACTTTGTAGGTCTTAAGTAATTGATTTTGTCTAACGGTAAACTCGATAGCTAAGTTACATAGCTAACAACTTTTTATTTATTTTATATTTAAAGTGTGTTCGTGTTCCATACTTACCTTTA